CTCTGAGTACGAGAGAGAGAGAGAGAGAGAGAGCAAGAGAGAGAGAGAGAGAGAGAGAGGTGTGGATGTGCTTTGGTCTCCCATTAGCATAATCTAGATGGCCTCTTTGCTGGAGAAACTCCCATACCATTATGTATATATTTTTTTCCTCTTGGGGTGTTCAGATTGCCCAGCAAAGAGTCCCCAGTCTCTGCCAGGAGAGGAGAGCTCACAGGCCAGCCAGCATCCTTGAGGGGCATACAGGAAGAAGACTAGAAAGAGCATTCGGCATTTAAAATTCTAAGAGTCTCTCAATTTTCTTTTTGGTACACACACAAATGGCCCTTTCTTGTCTCTTCCCAGAGATCTAACAAGATTTCTCGGTTCATGGAATGCTAAATGTCTCGGTAATTGTCTTAGGTGCTCCCAAGCAAAAGATATACCTAATCGCTGCATTTATTAAGTAGTTATCTCCAAAGAAGTTAAGTACTTAGGTCTTAAAACGTTACTATTTGAAAAAAAAGTACACATAAATGGAGAAAAACGGATTATAATTTTATTCCTAAATAACCACAATTACGTTCTAACGTATGCACGCATCTGTTGGATTCTACACAACCCTCCTCGGAGTCAGAACGAGCACAGCCAGCCTCATTTCATGATCCACACTGATTTCCACGTGGTACTTCCTCTTTACCACATACACACACAAAAACTCAGTTTCACAAAGATGTGATGTCACAGAAAAGAATGTAGAGTGATCTCATGTCGAAACTCTGAACTACTTCAAGCTAGTAGTTATTGTCTATCAGGTGTTGAGTATCACGGGCTCGCATGAGATATTTCAAACATTACAGCACCTCCATGCTTCAGCGAGGCGTCCCAGGGCACTGTGCCACAGTTTGGGAACCAGGGTTTCTATACAGCCCACTTCTGTCTAACTCACCATCTTCACCTGGGTGTGAATTATGCTTTTCCATTATGTACAATCTACTGGAATCTCCACAGACATCCTCACCACTGCCCTCCTGCAACTCAGAACCTTAGTACGTTTAACAAAGTGTAATTTACTTCACATCCTGAATCACAGACTCAAAACATGGACTTCGCTCAAGAGCCAGGATGATGGGGGGCATTGGTGAGCGGAGATTCATACTGAAAATAAGAGACACCATGCTTTCAGATGTATAATTCCCCAACCAGTAAGACACTTTTTTGTATTTTCAATTTGCATGCTATTAGACATTGCTATAAAAGTAACTCAGTATAGTCTGTGGTTGTTTTCAGACAGCTGAGTAAGGGCCTGAGTATTAACAGCTGTCAAATGAGACGTCTGTTCTCTCAGCTCACCCCGTCTCCCCAGACTAGTCTTTGAAGGATCCAATCAGTGAAAAGTCAGAATGTCAGAGAAGCCCAGAGCAGGTAATACGACAAACGGATGTTGGTCTTCAGTAAGGTGACTAGCCATTAATTCACAAAACAGTCTGAAAAGACTGTGGTGCAAGCTGACTTCTGTCTAGACAGAGAAGGGGGGTGTAAAACATATCAGACAGATGCAGCACAGTAGTGACAAGAAAAACCTGTTTCAGTTGCACAAATGCATCGGGAGGGAATTTTCTAGTTCCTTCTTTATCTAAATAGCGAATCCCTAGTGGGGCTCCAACTAGGTACTAGTGAATTTCAATTTTATTTCTAGAGCTTTTAAACATCTTACACATAAATAAGACATGGGAGGAGAATGAAGAGAAGAAAAAAGATAAAGAGAAAGGGAGGGAAACGTAGAAAGAGAGGGAGGGGAGGAGGGGGGAGAGGGCACGAGAGGGGGAAGGAGACGGGGAAAGAGAGAGAGAGGTTGACTGAACACCGGCCAGTGAGCAGAGAGCAAGCGTGAATATGTCAGAAGAAGGGAAGAGAGGGTAATAAAATCCAAATGCTTAAATATGTTCCTGAATTTCAAAGGCTATTCATGTTTTAGCATTTGGAAAACATCACTGAGCTAGTCCTATAAAATTTATCTCTTGCCTCAGATGTATTGTAGTCATGTCTGTTTTTCTCCTTTCCACGTAACAGTGGCTAAAAAAACAACTATCAGGGAAGCCAGTTCCTACATATATTTTATGTAGTTGAACAGTTCACTGGTCTACTGGATATAACAGTCAATTAGGTCATGTAAGGAAAGCCAACACTGCCATATATATTTTGTTTTTCCCCTGACAATGCCAATGGTCAACTTCAAGGTCAATGTAAGGAACACATCTGGCTCCTAGTAAAAGGGTCAGAATCATACCTAGGTTTGTCAGGCATGCCAAAACACTGTTTAAATACAAATACGCTTCCACGGTTGCTTGACCTGAAGTTCTTCCTCATGACAAGTCACATCAAGAGCTGCTGGAACAGTTGATCACGTGCTTAACGTTTTTGTTGTTGTTTAAAAAATATGATCATGGATTTAACGCTACATGGCAGTCCAGGTTTTGTGAAACAAGCATTTTCATGCTTGATGAAAGAGAGAAAGGAGTAGTTCTAACCGTGTGTGGTAAATGCAGCTGTGGCGGAATTATCTAAGATCAGGGGGAAGGAATTGACTTTTGTTTTTAATAGCTCAGATATATATATAAATTTCTTGTATTGATAGATTTGCTTAAAACATTTCTCTACCAAGAAGCATTTGTTTTCAGCAAATGCTATTATTGTGGTTGGACTGGAGGAGTCTGTTTTCTTAAATGCTTTCATGTCTAACAAAAGGCAAAAGAAAAATAAGAGAACTCCATGGACATGGGGAGGAGAAACTGTTTTGTACATTCCTAGGATAGGCGGTTTATTTATTTTTTAAAAATATGTTTTTATTGATTTTACAGAGAGAGGAAGGGAGAGAGAGAGAAAGACATTGATGACAGAGGAACATTGATCCGCTGCCGCCTGCACGCCCCCGCTGGGAATCAAGCCTGCAACCCAGGCATGTGCCCTGACCAGGAATTGAACGGGTGACCTCTTGGTGCATGGGAGGATGCTCAACCACCGAGCCACACCGGCCAGGTACGGTATGTGGTTAAAAGGAAGGTCTTCCATAGCTTTTTTCACGATTTTGCCACGTTTAACCAGATGGCATTTCAGTAAGTTCTAGAGGTCATATTATTCCAGAAAGCTACTGAGGCCTGATTTTATTAAATAATTAATGATCAAAACTATATTCTAGAAGCAAAACAGCAAACCCTAAATGAAACGGGAGGGAAGGAGGCATGAGGATGGGACAACAGGGTGGAGGAGGGGATGGCAGGAGACGCCTCTGCTCTCCCTTCTCACCCAAACGTAACCCTTCCTAGCCCGCATATTGAGTGCTTTCTACCTGCAAACATGTACACACTCAAAAACAAAACTATGCAGTTTCCAACAAGTGTTCTGAATTTTTGGATAATGGTTTGCTTATGATTCTGAATACAGATCATGGGAGACTTTTCATAAATCGTCACCATCTCTGCAAGTGAGGACACTGGGTAACAACATGATGAAAAAGTCGCATGAATTCATTCAGAATCCAAAATTGCAACATCAAAAGCAGTCTTAATCTGTTCCAGTAGTCAAGTTTTTATAAGTTTGGGCCCAAGATTTTAGTTTTATTTGTACATAAAGCATCAGAAGACATAAATTGCTCCACAGACTTGCTTAAACTTTCTTGCAGATAAATAAGATATTTGGTGCCTACTTATCTATCTATCTTATCTTATCTATCTATCTATCTATCTATCTATCTATCTATCTATCTATCTATCTGGTCTCTCTCAAATAGTAAGTGCAAAAGATATGCCCTAACTCGCTATAGGATTTCTGTGTTAGCTCATGCAGTAGATTGAGTCTCAGAAGTTCTATGTATCAGGGAACCAGCTTTATGCCATCTTATACAAAGATTCACTGCAGACAAAACAAAGCTGTGTATATCCATGGTTTGGAAAGTGACTACAGTATTTGATGTGGTGACTGACACATTAAGCAGGGAGACATGCTCTAGTTGACAAGAAGGCACCAGATCAATTCCAGCTGTTCCCTAAGGATGTACTCAGCATCCCTTAAACTCTGGATCCTACCAGGATCATGCTCGGCTTCCAATAACCCAATGCTCAGAAGTGAGAGGTTCAGGACTGAGCACAGTAATCTGAGCTGCTGTAACCCACCGAAAACCTTCACGTCCTCAAAGAAGGGACAGAGTCAGGCCAAGGCCCCAGAGGGACACACGGCTGGAAGGATCTGCTTGAGGCCAAAGTAGAGGCACAGATTTGATTGCCTACCCTTTGGCAAGACGTAAAAGCAGTGACTGTGCTGGTGAGAAAAATACCAGAGAAAGTGGTCCCAAGGAAGATATACCTAGACAAACACTTTGGTTCCCTTTACAAACATCACTTTAGTCCATGAGGAGTCAAAATATGTGTAACAAGTCTGAGGCAAGAGAGAAGTTGAACCCAATGCTTCTGGGTAACCTAACCCTCGAAGGAGGTCAAACGACCCGGTAATTAAGGGCAAGATGACTTTCTTCATGCTTGTAGGACAATAAAATTTTATGGCTCAGGGCACATCAATGAGAAATGCCTGGCAGTCAGCATTGCTTCTATCTTGGGTCTGCTCTCCTGTGAGACACATTTTGACGCTGGGGAGTCTGGCTGTTAGTGGGTTTTGGTCAGCAGAAATATGCGGCAGACGGTTCTCGTCTACTGGAATTTTAGGAGGATGTTTTTTCATCATTAGCTCAGTTGGCTTTCAGAGTATAAAAGACTATATTTTCAAAAGCTTAAGTCCCTGAGCTTGACCTTCTTGTCTGAATGGAACTTAATGTTTTACTAATAAAGAAGTTGATGTAAAATGCAGTGTACAGACCCCAGTTTTGATAAAGAAGAGATTGTCTTTAAGGGGGTTTCACATTTCCAGGGAACTGCAAAAACATTGTTCTGCTTATGGCTTTGAAACAGAAACAAAGAGCTATTGAAACTCCAAAGATACATTACCAAAGGAAAAAAGCAAAAGCTTCTTACCAGGTTCAGCTGTAGACCTAGGTTCTGTTCGCCACATGAGGAGAAAAGCAAATAAGAACGTGGTATTAGAATAGGGTTCCATTAACGATAAGCCTCCCTATCTTTCCCTATTACCTTGTCTAGGGCACGTCTGCCAAAATGTCATAGACTAACTCCATAGCACCAAAGCAATCAAGTGACAGGTTGACTTACATTTCTGCAAACACAAAAACCCAAATTCCAGTAACAGCTTATGGTAGGGAGTTATTCAAACTGCAGTTCATAGAAGGTCTTATAAAAGGTTGTAAGCCTCTTAAAATCATTTGCACAACTTTGAGTTCAAATGTACATATCTTTTTTTTTTTTTCCTGAAGAAATAACATATAACATTCATTGGAATTTCAAAGGGGTCTGCCAGCGAGCACCCCACTGTAATCTACTGGGCCCCTCCCACGTGCAGAGTATCCTGTCTCTCTCTCTTTGAAAACAGAAATTGGTCCATCCAAATGACTGCACCCTTGTTGCTTTTTCTGACGCCTGAGAGAAGACAAGGGTTGGATTTGGGAGAGTGGGCACCTCTCCTTACTTTTCTGGAGAATCCGGAAGTCGGGCGAGTCCTGGATTTCGCTCCCTTGTCGGAACCACTTGACCTGCAGTGGGGGTGCCCCTCGCACCCGGCACTCCAGCACCACCACCTGGCCTTCAGACGCCGCTATGTTTTGCAGTTCCTGAAATTCGAGAAAAACACTGCCCATCAGACTCGGGTGTCTTCTTATACAATCTCACAACAGAGAATAAACTTTCTAAATTTCAGAGAGGAAAAAAATGCAAAACTTGCATCATAAAAGAATGATCACTGACTCAGATGAGGATAAACACCTTTAGACCCATTCATCATCCACTTTTCATAATCTCCACACACCGAATGAGCATGGTTTACCACGGGGCCTGCAGAAATGTCGGGCGCGTTTGCACATTTATGGACTCTGGTACTTACAGAATTTTACGGTAACAACTGTTACCTTCCTTTATCTACATTCAAGAGTAAGCTGGTAGAATGCATACTTCTTAAAACAATCATATACCATATGAATGTATTTTCCTATGAAAACCAGACATATGTTTTTGTTTCCCCATGCTCCATCACCTCTGCCCAACTATTTCCCTCTGTTGGATTTATTAAGATGAGGGGTTTTGGTATTTTTCTCATTTTGACATTCAGAGTAAAATTTTTTAAAATGCAGCTGTTTTCTCCTCTTGACCTTCATTTCCTCCTGGTTTGTTTTTACCCTTGCTACCCCCCCACCCACTCCAACTCCAGACCAATAAACTTTTACAGTCCAACAGATCAGAAATTAATTTGGCCTCATAGATACAAAGAGGTACAGCTTTTATATACTCGTTATTAAATATCAAAAGATTACTATTTTCCTTACATATGTCCCTTCTCTACCTTCCTTCTCCAGGATTACTTAGCAACGGGGCTTACATTTTTGACCATTTAAACTTCTGACTATGGAACATGGCTCTGATAGGGTCTGTAGAACCCTTAAAACAATATAAATATGATAAAGTAATTCACCTATACATAAACCAAAAGCGAACAAATTCACATTAAGAAGTATTTTTTTCCCTCTGTTTTGGTTCTGTTTTGTTTTTAAATTATCTGAAAACACAACCAATCATGTTCTGGGAAAAACATATCCTGTAGCAAATGACCTTCGGTGCTAACGCGCTATGGAAATTCTAGAAGTCATGCTGTTGGCAAAAGAACGGAAAAAGTCTAATGTGGAGTCTGCGAAGGCATTTGATAAGAATTCTGGTGGTTAAGAATGTCTTCAAGTGAAAATATTAAGATTATTAACGATTTCTGATTGCATTCTTTCTCCCCCCCTGCTTTTTAATTGTAGAAAATTCCTGGTTTTAAATAGACTGTTTCTGTCTGATTGAGTCCAGAAAGAGCTGAGTGGGTCATAGCAGGAAAGTGTCGCTCATGGGGCTCAGCTTGTGTGGATTAATTATTACACGCCTCCGGGCTTGTCCAGGAAGCCATTCACGGTAGATTACAAGCGGTACACAAATATTTTTCATGTGTGAGCTTACGGACACCAGAGGAGACTGATTTATTCCTAGGGCTGTGTGTTTTGCTCGAACACTAGAAAGCCGGAGACGTAGGAAACAGTAGACGCCAAGGACCTTAAGCAGTCAAAACTCCATCGTTATTCCAAGATTACAATTTGGCTCCTCCTGGAGCAAACGTTTTTATCTTGGCAAAAGCCCCAGCTAAACACAGTTAGCCATTAGAACTAGCAGGAACACAAGGAGGAGCCCCGAAGGAGACAGAGCCAACCTTTAGAAGTTGCGCTTGGCAATCTGGGCCATCCATGCAGGGTAGCATTTGGGTCCTGAGTGTTTCAGGGTCCATAGAGGGCATCTCCGGACATACATCCAGTCCATATGAAACCGATTCCTTAGAAAGGTCTAACTATTTGGATGGATGGCCTCATGTGTGTTCCTACTACTCAGTCCCACAGACCACACATGTCCTGCGGCTCCAGCTGAGCCTGGTGACCGGCAGGCAGAGGTGCTGGCTGGGAAACCGGGCAGCTTCTCAGAGCCATAGGAGAAAAGAGACGGAGGCACACCTGGGACTGGCAAAGCCCACCTGCATCCACTGTCAACCATCATGCCCAAGAGAAAGGCCAAAGAGACGCTAAGGTCAACAAAGCAAAGGCTCGCTTGAGTTAGAGAGATGGGCAGATTTATGTGCTAAACCTGTGTCTCCAGCAACCACAGCCCAGGCCCACAGGGACCCTGCAAAGCAGGGAGATGAACGGAACAACGGGGAAGGGAAAAGGAGTAAGAGGAAAGGGAAGAAAAACAGATACCAACAAGGAGGGAAGCAGCAGCCCGGGAGCAGATGCCGCAGTCCAGACACAGGAAGCGGACTCCCTGGACATGCCCGGTGAGGTGCGCTGAGCTTCTCTGTATATCACTCTACAGTTCTAGATTTTTAAAAAATCAATCTTGATACGAATGTAGAATTTTGTTCTTTTCTTTTCATTAAGCTAACGTAGAATGCTGCACAGTTCTCCTTTGGGAGAGAGGGAAACGCCACTAATTCAATGTCTGTGTCTAGCGGCTGGACGGCACAAAACGTGAGTTTGTGTCTAGTGTCTGAGGATTTCTCCCAGTGTCCAGGAGGGATGCTGTGACAGAAGCCCTGTGGGGGAGGAAAGCTAAATCTTTTTTGTTTTAATCCCCAACCCAGGATATTTTTCTATTTATCTTTAGAGAGAGACAGAGAGAGAGAGATGTGAGACAGACACATCCACTGGCTGCCTCCCACATGACCCCAACCAGGGCCAGGGACAGAACCACAACCGAGGTACTTGCCCTTGACCGGAATCGAACCCGCGACCCCCCGGTCCACGGGCCAACGCTCCCTCCGCTGAGCCAACCCGGCCAGGGCAGGAAAACGAAATCTTACCATCTCTTTTCTTCTCCTGAGGACAACCAGCATGAACTTTATTTGCTTAAACCAAAAAGTGCATTGGGCCCTGACACCCCCACAATCCACCGTGTCCCAGGCAATAATACATCAGGGAACACGGACTTTCTGGTGAAGGTCTCGTAAAGCTGCTTGTGAAAAGCTCTTAAAACTACATATAAACGTGAATGTCCACCCCTCTGCAAACGTCTCCTGTTCTGAGGATCAAAGGATGCCTTCCCTGGCTGTTTACAGCGACACTGGTTAAAATCTTTAATAAAACTGGATACAGTCTGGCTTTAAAGAAAAAAATCATTCCCTACGCAAAGAAAAGTGAAATGCCCTTCTCTACTGCCTCGCAGAAGTTTTATAGATTTGCTTGTCCCATTTGTCTTTAGTTGACTTGGAATTGAGCTTTGTGAAAAGCATGAGGTAGAAATCGAATTTAATAGTGTTCGCCTCTGCTGAAGAATTCATTCTTTACCCAGTGGTCTGCCCGTTTCTGGAGGAGCCGGAGTGGGCTCTATTCTGACTACTGGTCAATTCATCTAGCCTCGGGCCAGCTCCATCCTTCCTAATACTACACATTAGGAGATCTCGATGTCCCAGGACAAATCCCACCCCTTCCCTAACACCACCTTATTGCTCTTCTTCAGGAGTGCCTTGGCTATTCTTAGCCATTTTTTCTTCCACCGAACTTTTTTTTTTTTTTTTTTTTTTTTTATCCTCACCCGAACAGAGAGAGAGGAGAGAAACATCGATGTGAAGGGACACATCGAGTGGCTGCCACCCGCACGACCAACCAGGGCCGGGGACAAACTGCAACCGAGGTACGTGCCCTTAGCGGGAACCGAACCCGGGTCTCTCCAGACCGCAGGCCGACGCTCTAACCGCTGAGCCAAACCGGCCAGGGCTCTTCCACCGAACTTTTACAATCAAATTGCCAAATTCAGTATTAAACAAACATATATAAGAAACCCACTGGAATTTTAGCTAGATTTACATGAAATGTATAGATTAACCTGAGAGCCATGAATTCTTTACAGTCTACCAGTCCATAGGCATGGTATTCCTCTCCACTTAAGGTGGGGGGAGAGGGAGAAGAAATGCCACATGGAACCATTTCTGAGTTGAACAGGTGTCCAACGAAATGAATGTCACTGAGCTCGGCAGTACAAAACACCAACTTAGAACAACTTGAAAATCTGTTTTTTTAATTTCTATAAAGCTTGCTGGTTGTCCCAAGAAATATCCTAGACAGAATTTTGTCTTATTTTTTCGGCCTTGGTTTTCCCACTCTACTCTGACCTCTGTCAGGCCACTGACCATGCCCACATTTCTTGACCCCTTCACGAGAATGTAGTCACGCAGCCCTTGTTCAATAAATATCTGCTGAGTCCCAAAGGTGACCATGACCATCAGTCTACTGATCTGTTCCTTTTCCTTTTCCAAGATGGCTCCACGAAGCCACATGTGAGTGGAATCGAAGCCCCAAAGCGAATGCAGGGAACGAGACTTGCAGATGTCAGACCTTTGTGAACACAGGAGGAAAGGAGGCAGAAGTGGTTCCATCGGGTCTGCAGAGATACGAGGTTGGACTGTGAACCTGCGAAAGCAGAGACACACGGATGAAATCCTCACCATATAAATTGCTGAGACGACGGGCTAAAGAAACGGCTCGTTATTGAGGCCGCTCCACATGAATGAAACGAGTGAACGAAAGTCTCTCCATATATCATTTTGCTGATCTACTGTCCCAGCACAGACACTGCCTGCTTCCTCACTGCACATCTGTTCCTCTCCTCTATTCGAGAGGATATTCAAGGCAGAAGTCCCCTGCTTCCTCGGGGATCCATGAACCTTTAAATGCTACGGCCAAAAGGATTTGTGTGTGTGGGACTTCCACAGGGGTCTTTTTAAAAGCTCTCACAGACATTCTGTTTCATTTTTTAAAATATAGTCTGGATTCATTGACTAAAAAGCACAGGTTACTGGCCGTGGAAGGTAAATGATTAAACAGCTACCTATCTTACGTTTAACTCGTATTCTTTTTGATACTGATAGAGATGGCAGGAAATAAAGAAAATGAAATATGTTCTTTTTCTTGATGTGCAGAAGACCAAGGTGCATACACCCTTACTGAATGGTACTCATCTATGGAAAAACAAAAGGATTTCAGAGTAGTGAATAAAAAATATTTCTTTGTGTACAGTCATGTATTTTCAAACACTCTGGATTTATTCACTTCACTGTAAGAGATTACTTAGTTTTTTTAACCTGAGATGATGGTGATCTGATATTATATGTCCAAATATGCCACAGGACATCACTGAGAATGTTGGCAGAGATGCCAGGATGGTGGTAATGAGCCTATTCATTATCCTTGTAAGACTTTACATTCAGGAGACCTGGGCCTCACTTCTCACTGTCTTTTTATGTCCAAAGAATCTATGAACACTTATATAGTATTTAGTCTGTGCCAGGCACTGTTCTAAGTGTTACAGAAAGGTTATATTACTTGTTCAAGTACGACTCCAGGGCGTTAACCTTTATGTCACCTTGCCTACAATAAAGCAATGGAGTTCCTTTGAGCACTTCCTTCTCCCAACTGTACGGTGAGATCTATTGCCTTCCATTCAGTGTTCCTGTAAAATTTAAACCATTTTAAAACAACGCTTACATTACTAGGATATTTACATATTTAGATGCATGTGTGCCTTTCTGCTTTTAGGCTTCTGTGTTACACCTTAATACAGTTTATGCCATTCGAGAAGTGTTTCATGTGTACATTTCCTGTTTCCCATGCGCAGTTTATAAACTGTGTGGGAATGGAGCTGGTGATATGTATTTTCTTTCAGTGTGAAATTCCTAGCACAGTGGTAAGCATTGATTAAATACTCATCAATACTTAAATATTAAACATAAAAAAATAATCCACTGATTTAATCAGAAATAATTCTATACATTCCACCCTAGTTTAGGGGTTCAAAGGAAATACCTATTTATATGCCACCTCCAAGGAACTTACACTGACCGGTTCTTTTCAAGTTTATGAACTCAAATGTCTTTTCTCTACTGTCTGCATATTCTTCATATCACAGAGTATATGTAATTACTAAAATATCTGTGAGTGCTCAACAGATCGAGGGCACGGTATGCTCACAAAACAACCTTAACATACGAGTAAGGAAGGAGTTTGCAGCTCCAGGATGTGGGAGAAGCCTTTTGTGAGCATTGTAAAGATACTCATCACAGCACAAAGGCAAAGTAACATATATTTGATTTAGAGGCATTTAGATTTTAATATGACTTTAAAAAAGTGCACGTTGTTTGTGTTTGCAAAGTAAACGCACTACAAATTGTTTCCAGTGGTTAGTATCATAGATCTTTCTTGAATAAAGCAGTCTTACAATGAAATAAAAGCAAGGTAAAAATGCATGAAGTCAAGGAATTTGAATTTTTTTCTTATTACTTGTTTAGGGCTTAGAGGGTGAGGCTACTTTTGTTGGTATGTAGATCTCTCTTGTATCTCATTTGTTTAAATGAGATAATAAATTTACCTAATGGAAGACAGCACATCTGTGGGGGAACAATCAAACAGTCTCGATAAAACAGATACCATTCCATCAGATTATTGGCAGTTAAAGAGGAAAGGTCCCAATGAAAATGCAGATGTTGACTGACCGGCGCTGTGGCTTTGAATCAAGATTATTTTTAGTAGATTAAAAGGAAGAACTTTACCTACCATTATTCTTTTCTCCCAGTTGTATTTCCACTCAGAAACAATTTCGAGGTGTAGACTAGTAAAATTCAAGCTATATTAAATACACCAAGAAGTTTGCGAATGACTGCCACTGCTTGTGCATCTGGTCCGGGGCACACTTACCTGTTGAACAGGGACAGATAGTGGCTGAATCACAGCTGTGGTCACTCCTGTCTTTGGAGATGATGATCCTATTGTCAGGGAAACGGAAGTTGTTTTCTTCTGAGCTCTGCAAAATAGGGAGGCAAGTGTTCAATCTGAATTGTTTTTAAAGCAGGAATTATTCTTTAAAACACTTGCACAGAATAGCCCCGTTCCTTTTGTGTACATAATCCACTGTACGTGTTAAGGGCTTCAGAAACGGGAACAGTTAGAGTAGCTGCATCCAGTGTAAGCACGGACTGAACCTTATAGACATTACCAACATAAACACACGGAGAAAAGGAAAGTAGCCATTATCAGCAAACCTGAGGCACCGAACATGAGAATCCTAAGAGAAAGGAAAACACTTAGAGAAAGTCGAATCTTTAGCAGTTAGAAAGATATTTAAAATCTTTAGGGTTAGGCTCCTATATTTAATTCAAAGTTTGGGTTGTCTATTTTAAGTCTAGCAGCTGTTCTCTGTTCATGTTCTAATTTTGTGAAGTTGAGAGTGTATTGAAATTTTTGTCTTTTCTTAGTGCATAAAATTTAGTGAGGTGTAGACAAAAGTTAAGAAGAACTGATTTTGCCTGGCCGGTGTGGCTCAGTGCTTGAATGTCAACCCCACGCACTGAGGTCGCTGGTTCCATTCCTGGTCAGGGCACATGCCCAGGTTGTGGTCCCAATTCCCAGTGGGGGGCATGCAGGAGGCGGCCAATCAATGTTCTCTCTCATCAATGTTTCTATCTCTCCCTCTCCCTAAAAAAATCAATAAAGAAAAAATATTTTAAAAAAAGAGAACTGATTTCTAGACCCAGTTTTGTTAGGTCACTGGCAGTGGAATCCCAAGAGAGTCATGTAGCTTCACTGAACTCGATGTCCTTGTCTAAACGAGAGGTGGTCGAATACATACATGATCTTATTAAGGTCCCTTTAGCATTAACATTTGATGACTATTTGATGCTGAATGGATATAACTGTTATGTATATACTAGCAGATCAAAAGGATTTGTTAACACAATCTTGATATTCATAGAGTGCTCTACAAAATTCTGGCATATTTTGATTTTTTGCAAAATAATTAAGATATTAACACTTTACTAATAATCAATATGTCTTTGTAGGAAGAACTGAATTTTGAGATTTTCATGATAAGATCTAACTAGAAACGGCCTTGATCCAAATGGAAACACATTGCTGGCCTAATAAGATATTTCCCCATTTATATAAATACATGGATCCCCGATTATTTTTAGTAGTGACTTAATACATTTTCTCTCAACATGACTGTTTTTTTCATAAATTTATAAAACTGGTCAGTTGTCTTTGAACCTAACATGATGTATTTTGGCATTTCGACGATGAAATGCAGACTTTGAAGTTCAAATTCACAAGTCAAAAATGATGCTCAAAGTTCAAATATTTGATCTTTGATTGACATCAGTGGACCTTTTCCATGAAAACACAACACGGAGGGCTTCCTAACCCAACACTTCTGCCAACACTCGACGCTATAACCCCGAGGAGGGTGAGGGCACTTACTGCGGCATAGCTCCAGGTTTCGATACGAAAGCTAGACTTTCACTGTCAGAATCGGTTGAACTGGCACCTAAGGGTGAAAAATAATAAAGTTAAGATGCAAGCAGTACCTATAATTGCTTCAAAGAGTAATGTTCTTTATTTTAAATAATAACACAGAGAGTCTAATTTTGAAATAGAGAATGTTTCAGACCATTTTTACTTGCACTGTGTCTTTAGAAAATCATTACAAAAAAGAACTGCCCTGGCAGTCTTGGCTCGGTGGTTAGAACATTGGGCTTTGGACAGAAGGGTCACAAATTTGATTCTGGTCAAGGGACTTGATTCATATCTGGGTTGCAGGTTCAATCCATGGCCCTGGTGTTGGGCGGGAGGCAACCAATCAATGTGTCTCTCTCATATCGATGTTTCTTTCTCTCCCTCCCTCCCTTCCATTCTATCTAAAAATCAATGAAAAAAATACCCTCAGTTGAGGATAAAAAATAAATAAAATCATTAAAAAAAAAAAAAAAAAAACTACTATGAAAAGCTTTCTTCAAATCACATATTTGTAATGTCAAATTTATTATTAATTTCATTTTTATCACTTTGGCCATCACAAACCATGCTTGTAAATGGCTTATGAACCATAAAATAAATTTGAATGTGTCTGTGGGCAAAAAATTCATGGTTTTGAACTTGAACCCTTTCCCAGGAGATTTCATGGGGTGGGGTATCACCGTCTTCAGTCCTCATTAATCAGGAAATGCTGACTCCAGGATAAACTAGAGCATGGCGGTGGCTTCATTCTCCAATAAAAAGGTCTCTGATTTGGGGTCATGCTTTCCCAAATTCATTTGTTTCATTACTGTTTTTGAATTAAGAATCAGACTTTTAGTCAAAATGCATACTGTACTTACATTTAATGTGCATGTTGTTTGTGAAGAGAGATTTTAGGTGACATTTAAAATCAGTGTGACGGTTAGAAGTATATTCTTGATATTTCCTTTATATAACTTGAGTTATTTAAATGATCTATTTTTAAATGTTTAATATAAAAGCATACTTATAAAAAAGTAACCAAATAGAACAAAATTGTGCGACATTGTAATAAAGACCAGTCTGGTGTGTGTTTTTCAGCTAAATTTAATGTATCAACATACATATATTTAAGTACCTATTTATACAAATGGAATCACACTAGACGTACTCCTTGCACTTAGTTGTTTTGCCTATCAATACATTTAAAATAGATACATTTACTTAATTCTCTTGGATGGCTGCCTAAGTGTTCCTTTCCAGGACTATAATACGTTTTTACAGCCTTTTATGGATGTTGAAACAATCATGTTTAGGTAACTCTGCTGGAATGTTTGCTGTCCCTTTCTATTTATTTCTATAGCCACCACCTGGAGGAGGCTTTCTTCACTAGTTCCTGGACTACCACAGTAGGATCTTAAATCATCTTCCCATCTCTCTCTTTCCCAAATTTGCCTTCAACCCACGTCAGATTAATGTTCCTGTCTTCCGGAACCTCCTGGACTTCCACATCACATAACCCCAATCCAGAGTGAACATTCTCCCTGCTGTCTATCTCGACGGGTAAGGAAAACACAATGGTGAAGAAAACACACACACACCCCTACCTCTTCAGAGATTATATTCTCTTCATGATAGACAAGGAAAGTAAACACATGGCGTGGTGGTGAGTGAAATGAAACGGCAAAGAGCAGGGTGGGGCATTGGGGGCAGTGGGAATGCAGTGGGGTGCACCGTGAAGTAGGGTGGCGAGGAAGAATCCCCAAGATCCTTTATTTATTTAAATTTATTTATTTATTTAAAAAAAACATTTTTTTAAGTCCTCACCTGAGGATATTTTTCTATTTATCTTCAGATAGAGTGGGAGGGACAGAGAAACATCGATGTGTGAGGGACACATTGACTGGCTGCCTCTAGCCTGACCCTGACCAGGCCGGGGTCGAACCACAACTGAGGTACGTGCCCTTGACTGGAATCAAACTCATGATTCTCTGGTCTGCAGGCCGACACTCTAACTGCTGAGCCAAACCGGCCAGGGCCAAGATGAGGACTTGAAATAAATGAACATCCAACGTTGGTAAGGGCTTTTCCTTCTTGGTCTTTTCCTGTGACTGTACCTTTATCTATATTATTCATTCTTATAGGAAACTCCTACCCAGTCTGTACTTTTAAGATCGGCCCCTTCGTTTTTCTGTGCTCTGTCTTCTCTGAACTTCCAGTGTTCTTGTTTATATTACATCACTTACAACATCACATCGGCTGGAAAATTTTAAGTTCGTTGAGAACTGAAGTGGTTTTAGGAAGGGAACTACCAATTTTTTGGGTACTAACTATTTGCCTGGCAGTCTGCTAGAAACCTTATAGCATTTAATTACGACCTCACTACGAGGTAAGTTATATCCAATTACAGATCAGAGAACTGAGGAACCAAGAGGTTAGGTCATTTGCATACGACCTCATCCCTAGGAAACAGCCTTGCCTGTTCCATCTGACCCCCTGTGCTGTGTGCGTCCATCTTCCTCCGACGCCCAGCTTCATGCCTTGGACTTCTGATGGGATGAATGAATGGGACCAAGGAACTGCAGCCTTGTTTGGGGACAGGCAGTAGACTATGCAACTAGAGAGGAGCAGCATCTTGTGGGGGTGGCCATGGGGGGAGGCACGTCTAGAAACATGGGGTGGAACACCAGGGCTAAAGTGTCCGGACTTTACATCTAGGCACTGGGTGGTGACTGGGAAAATTAACTGTGTGGGGTGAACTGAGAAAGGATGGGGGCAAAGCAGAGAAAAACAAACAACCACCCATCTAAAATAGGTGACAGACGAGGAGAAAGTTTGAACTGTGATGAGGAGGTCGAAGCAGCTGAACAGGGAAACAGAAAAACCCGTAGACTCAGGTATCAGAAAGTCACGGGAACCTGAGAGAGATCAGTTTCGCTGGAATCATGAGTGTTATGCAGAGAGCCAGCAAAACCCCCGTGGGAGTCGTCACAGACATTCTCAACGTGGCTTGAAACTGGGGAGAGAAATAGCTCCTTTTCAGACAATTCCAAACATTCAAATCATTTCTTAAAATCCCCTCTGATTACCTCTACTTAGAAAGACCTTCTTATTTTCCTCCTTCGGCTGATTCTCAGAGGAAAGGAAAGGACCGAAAGGTTGGTGTCCCCAGAGAATACCTTCTCTCATTTTCGCACACCTGTCCAACCTTTGTGAAATCTCAATGTCACCTTCTGTCTCAGGTGTCGGAGCAGCTCTCGCAGATGGGAGCAGATCAAATCTCCTCATCTGTGCCAAAGAGTTCCCTTCCTTCCCCGAGGGCAACCCTCTCCTTTTTTGTCTCCTCCCTTGAGCCATCTGCTCTGCACCTGCTGATCAGGAAACCCCACTCCTGATTCAGGTTAACGTTTGCCTCTGTATTGACCAAACCATCACATTCCGTGTTTCATGTAGGCTCCGACCTGAAGGAAGCCCACGTCCCAGCCCTTTCAGTTACTATGTATCTGTGCTCCAATGTGAGGTGTTTCCGTTCTGCCTCCCACACAGAGTGAAGGAGTCAAATGCCCACGGTCTCCGCTCTCCCCTAGGGGTCAAGAGTGGGTGAGTGTCACAGAACACGAGCCTCCTGTCTTGACTTTAAAAGGTGCTCCCTTTCCATTTTTAAAACTTACCCATTTTAGTACTTCCTTGAAGAAAAAAACAAACAAAAAACATAAAATGCACCATAGCAAAAATTAAAGAGAAATATCATTTGAAATACCACCACCCAGGTACTTTGGAGCACATCCGTCTAAAGTGTATGCCTCTGTACACATAAAAATAATAAAATGTATTTTTAAAAGATGACAATGCTATCATACTGCTCAATTTATCCCCCCTACTTAATAAATATGTCAATAAATAAATATGTACTTTTATAATTTTCTAGTGGCTGCTTCAAACTCATTTGTGTGGATTTACCATAATTTTATTTTCTACTATTAATGAATATGAGAACATTTTTAAATGTCTCACCAGAAAGGTGTATAAAATAGCAATATATCAAAATGCTCATTTCCTGATACTCATGAAATCACTGTTTTAATAATCTTTATTTTTGTCAATCTGATATCATCTATGATTTTTTTAAAAGCTGTCATTTCTGAGGAAAAGCAAATTAGATGTAAATCATACAGCTTCAACTTCAGGAAATAAGAAGTCTTCATAAAAGCAGATATCAACCATTAAAAAGTTATATATATATACACGTGTATGTGTGCATATTTCAACCCTGAGTGACTTTAGTAAATCTTGTCATGAAGTTCACCCTTTTGTGCTTTGGTTTCAAAATTTAAGGACTAAATATACTCCGTCCCCACTACTCACTTTTTGCCCCCCTTCTTTTTCAGGTGCTATAATTACAAGCACAGCAATAATCATTCAGATCACATTAGTGCAAATTCTGTGGCCACTGCTCTCCAGCCACATGACCTCATGCAAGTTACTTAGCCACTTAGTTCCTCAATAATTTTTTTTAACAAAAATAGGCTAAATTTTAAAAACAAGGCACAAAAGAGTATACAGAGTAAAAGGCACACACATAGAACACTGGATAGTGGAACTACACATGATTTTTATATTTTCTTTCTATGTTTTAGGTATTTAAAAATAAAAATGTACTTCTGTTTGTTTGGTATTAGTAATGATAGCTCCCGCTATGTGCCAGGCATGGCTCTAGGCAATTAACTCATTCAGTCCTCACAACAATCTAATTGTGTCCACGCACAGATGGAGAAACTGAGTTCAGAGCCGCTGAATGACAGTTCAAGTGCTGGAACTAAGCTGTGGAGAAAATATTGTGAAAAAACGACCAAAACTGGGCTTAGACTCCTTCAGCTCCTCTTAACATTGTCAAAAGCCAGCAGGAGAAACCTGATATTCAGAGAGGCTTTTTCTCACTGGGATCAACAGAAACAGCTATTATAACATGTTAGCATGAGTCAAAATGTCACGTAAAAGGGGCACGTTTTATTTGATTATTCGAAGTGAATTTATAAGTAAATATCAAACACA